TCAATTCACAGCAAGGAAATCCGGCCTCCTTTGAAGTTAGGGCTTCTCGCTGTATATTCCACTTGAGGCAGCAAACTGGGGGTCCCTCCAACATTCCTATTGCTGAGAGAAGGCTCCCCTTGAGGTGCTTCTGGAAAGTTGGCATACGTCTTGAGCCTAAGCCAGGGAATCAGCTCTCATCTCGAGACGATTTGGGGTACACGGAGCATTCCTCGAGTTGCTGTGCTGAAGATGGTGTTCCTCTAGACTTGGGACAGTGTTCTCAGGGCATCTCTGGAGTTGCCTGAAGGAAGTCAAGCCACTGGTCGTGTTTAATGTGGAACGGGGGATGGCTCTGGAGTCAATGCAGGGGAATCGGGCATTATCTCGAGTTGATTTGGGGCACATGGTGCTGCTTTGCGTTGATGGGGTGACCTCAGGATCCGTCTAGACATGTGACAGTGTTCTTGGTGACTGTTTCGAGATCCATTAAGCAAGTCGAAGCTTCTGACTTGTTTGATGGGGATCACAGAATTGCTCTGCATGCACTGCAGGAGAATCGGGCCTCATCTCGCCTCTAGGGGAAAGTCTCATGGTTTTTCTCGACTTGCGGCGGGGACCTGGGGTATGTACTCGGGTTACGGCGGGGATGGCCCTTCAAAACACGTGTTTATTCAGTGGCGTCAGGACTCCTGTCCAGTAACGAGGGACAGCTCAGGAATCTCTTCGAGGCTTGGCAGGGCACAAGGGACGCTTCTCGAGGTGAGACTGGGCACACAAGGAACCTTTCAAATAGCCACAGGGATTTTGGGATTCCTATCAATATTTTAGAGGAGTCAGGCATCGTCACCTTTTGAAGCAGTGAACTCCGCGTGCCTCTCTAGGTGACAAATGGATGTGAGGCATTCCGTCAAAATGAGGCAGGGACCTATAGCTTTCTCTAAGGTCTCCACAGGGGATTCAGACATCCCTTCATTCTGTGAGATGAAAGACGAGCCTGTATTCAAGCCACTGCAAGGAAATCCGGCCTCCTTTCAAGTTAGGGCTTCTCGCTGTATATTCCACTTGAGGCAGCAAACTCGGGGTCCCTCCAACATACCTATTGCTGAGAGAAGCCTCCTCTTGAGGTGCTTCTGGAAAGTTGGCATACGTCTTGAGCCTAAGCCAGGGATTCACCTCTCATCTCGAGACGATTTGTGGTACACGGAGCATTCCTCGAGTTGCTGTGCTGAAGTTGGTGTTCCTCTAGTCTTGGGAGAGTGTTTGCGGGGCATCTCTGGAGTTGCCTGAAGGAAGTCTAGCCAGTTGTCTTGTTTAATGGGGAACTGGGGATGGCTCTGGAGTCAATGCAGGGGAATCGGGCCACATCTCGGGTTGATTTGGGGCACATGGAGCTGCTTTGCGTTGCTGGGGTGACCTCAGGGTCCGTCTAGACTTGTGACAGTGTTCTTGGGGACTGTCTCGAGATCCATTAAGCAAGTCGAAGCTCCTGACTTGTTTGATGGGGATCACGGGAATACTCTGCATGCACTGCAGGGAATCAGGACTCATCTCGCATCTAGGGGGAAGTATCACGGTTTCTCTCAAGTTGCGCTGGGGACCTGGGGTATCTACTCGAGTTACGGCGGGGATGGCCCCTCAAAACCCGTGTTTATTCAGTGCCGTCAGGACTCCTGTCTAGTAACGAGGGACACCTCAGGAATCTCTTCGAGGCTTGGCAGGTCAAAAGGTATGCTTCTCGAGGTGAGGCAGGGCAACCAATGACCCTTTCCAGTAGCCACAGTTATTTTGGGATTCCTATCAATATTCAAGACGAGTCAGGCATCATCACCTTTTGAAGCAGTGAACTCCGCGTGCCTCTCGAAGTGTCAACTGGATGTGAGGCATTCCGTCAAAATGATGCAGGGATCTAGAGCTTTCTCTAAGGTCTCCACAGGGGATTCAGACATCCCTTCATGCTGTGAGATGAAAGACGAGCCTGTATCCAAGCCACTGCAAGGAAATCCGGCCTCCTTTCAAGTTAGGGCTTCTGGCTGTATATTCCACTTGAGGCAGCAAACTCGGGGTCCCTCCCAAATACCTATTGCTGAGAGAAGCCTCCTCTTGAGGTGCTTCTGGAAAGTTGGCATACGTCTTGAGCCTAAGCCATGGAATCAGCTCTCACCTCGAAACGATTTGGGGTACACGGAGCATTCCTCGAGTTGCTGTGCTGAATTTCGTATTCCTCTAGACATGGGACAGTGTTCTCGGGGCATCTCTCGAGTTGCCTGAAGGAAGTCAAGCCACTGGTGGTGTTTAATGGGGTACGGGGGATGGTTCTGGAGTCAATGCATGGGAATCGGGCCTCAACGCGAGTTGATATGGGGTACTTGGAGCTGCTTTGCGTTGCTGGGGTGATGTCAGGGTCTGTCTAGACTTGTGACTGTGTTCCTGGGGACTCTCTCGAGATCCATTAAGAAATTCGAAGCTGCTGACTTGCTTGATTGGGATCACGGGAATGCTCTGCATGGACTGCAGGGAATCAGGCCTCATCTCGCATCTAGGGGAAGTCTCATGGTTTTTCTCGAGTTGCGGCGGGACCTGGGGTATGTTCTCGAGTTATGGCGGGCATGGCCCTTGAAAACACGTGTTTATTCAGTGACGTCATGACTCCTGTCTAGTAATGAGGGACACCTCAGGAATCTCTTCGAGCCTTGGCAGGGCAAAAGGGATGCTTCTCGAGGTGAGGCAGGGCACACAAGAACCCTTTCCTGTAGCCACAGTGATTTTGGGATTCCTATCAATGATCAGGAGGGGTCAGGCATCGTCACATTTGAAGCAGTGAACTCCGTGTGCCTCCCGAGGTGTCAACGGGATGTGAGGCAATCCGTCAAAATGAGGCAGGGACCTAGGGCTTTCGCTAAGGTCTCCACAGGGGATTCAGACAATCCTTCTGGTTTTGAGATGAAAGACAAGCCTGTATTCAAGACACTGCAAGGAAACCCGGCCTCCTTTCAAGTTAGGGCTTCTCGTTGCATATTCCACTTGAGGCAGCAAAATGTGGGTCCCTCCAACATATCTATTGCTGAGAGAAGCCTCCCCTTGAGGTGCTTCTGGAAAGTTGGCATACGTCTTGAGCATAAGCCAGGGAATCAGCTCTCATCTCGAGACGATTTGGGGTACACGGAGCATTCCTCAAGTTGCTGTGTTGAAGATGGTGTTCCTCTAGACTTGGGACAGTGTTCTCAGGGCATCTCTGGAGTTGTCTGAAGGAAGTCAAGCCACTGGTGGTGTTTAATCTGGAACGGGGGATGGCTCTGGAGTCAATGCAGGGGAATCGGGCATTATCTCGAGTTGATGTGGGGCACATGGTGCTGCTTTGCGTTGATGGGGTGACCTCAGGATCCATCTAGACATGTGATAGTATTCTTGGGGACTGTCTCTAGATCCATTAAGCAAGTCGAAGGTCCTGACTTGTTTGATGGGGATCATGGAATTGCTCTGCATGCACTGCAGGAGAATCGGGCCTCGTCTCGCCAATAGGGTAAAGTCTCATGGTTTTTCTCGACTTGCGGCGTGGACCTGGGGTATGTACACGGGTTACGGCGGGGATGGCCCTTAAAAACTCGTGTTTATTCAGTGACGTCAGGACTCCTGTCCAGTAACGAGGGACAGCTCAGGAATCTCTTCGAGGCTTGGCAGGGCAAAAGGGATGCTTCTCGAGGTGAGGCAGGGCACCCAAGAACCCTGTCCTGTAGGTACAGTGATTTTGGGATTCCTATCAATGTTCAGGAGGAGTCAGGCATCGTCAGCTTTTGAAGCAGTGAACTCCGCGTGACTCTCGAGGTGTCAACGGGATGTGAGGCATTCCGTCAAAATGAGGCAGGGACCTAGGGCTTTCTCTAAGGTCTCCACAGGGGATTCAGACATCTCTTCCTGCTGTGAGATGAAAGACGAGCCTGTATTCAAGACACTGCTAGGAAACCGGCCTCCATTCTAGTTAGTGCTTCTCGCTGTATATTCCATTTGAGGCAGCAAACTCGGGTTCCCTCCCACATACCTATTGCTGAGAGAAGCCTCCTCTTGAGGTGCTTCTGGAAAGTTGGCATACGTCTTGAGCCTAAGCCAGGGAATCAGCTCTCAACTCGAGAAGATTTGGCATACAGGAAGCATTCCTCGAGTTGCTGTGCTAAAGGAGGTTTTCCTCTAGACTTGGGACAGTGTTCTCGGGGCATCTCTGGAGTTGTCTGAAGGAGGTCAAGCCACTGGTGGTGTTTAATGCGAAACGGCAGATGGCTCTGGAGTCAATGCAGGGGAATCGGACCTCATCTCAAGTTGATTTGTGGCACATGGAGCTGCTTTGCGTTGCTGGGGATACCTCAGGGTCCGTCTAGACATGTGACAGTGTTCTTGGGGAATGTCTCGAGATCCATTAAGCAAGTCGAAGCTCCTGACTTGTTTGATGGGGATCACGGAATTGCTCTGCATGCACTGCAGGAGAATCGGGCCTCATCTCGCTTCTAGGCGGAAGTCTCATGGTTTTTCTCGATTTGCGGCGGGGACCTGGGGTATGTACTCGAGTTACGGCGGCGATGGCCCTTCAAAACACGTGTTTATTCAGTGACGTCAGGACTCCTGTCCAGTAACGAGGGACAGCTCAGGAATCTCTTCGAGGCTTGCCGGGGCACAAGGGACGCTTCTCGAGGTGAGGCAGGGCACCCAAGGAACCTTTCCAATAGCCACAGGGATTTTGGGATTCCTATCAATATTCAAGAGGAGTCAGGCATCGTCACCTTTTGAAGCAGTGAACTCCGCGTGCCTCTCGTGGTGTCAACGGGATGTGAGGCATTCCGTCACAATGAGGCAGGGACCTAGGGCTTTCTCTAAGGTCTTCACTGGGGATTCAGACATCCTTTCCTGTTGTGAGATGAAAGACGAGCCTGTATACAAGACACTGCAAGGAAATCCGGCCTCCTTTCAAGTTAGGGCTTCTCGCTGTATATTCCACTTTAGGCAGCAAAATCGGGGTCCCACGAACATACCTATTGCTGAGAGAAGCCTCCTCTTGAGGTGCTTCTGGAAAGTTGGCATACGTCTTGAGCCTAAGCCAGGGAATCAGCAATCATCTCGAGACGATTTGTGGTACACGGGGCATTCCTCGAGTTGCTGTGCTGAAGTTCGTATTCCTCTAGACTTGGGACAGTGTTCTCGGGGCATCTCTGGAGTTGCCTGAAGGAAGTCAAGCCACTGGTGGTGTTTAATGGGGTACGGGGGATGGCTCTGGAGTCAATGCATGGGAATCGGGCCTCATCTCGAGTTGATGTGGGGTACTTGCAGCTGCTTTGCATTGCTGGGGTGACCTCAGGGTCTGTCTAGACTTGTGACAGTGTTCCTGGGGACTTACTCGAGTTCAATTCAGCAAGTCGAAGCTCCTGACTTGCTTGATGGGGATCACAGGAATGCACTGCATGGACTGCAGGGAATCAGGCCTCATCTCGCATCTAGGGGAAGTCTCATGGTTTTTCTCTAGTTGCGGCGGGACCTGGGGTATGTTCTCGAGTTATGGCGGGCATGGCCCTTGAAAACACGTGTTTATTCAGTGACGTCATGACTCCTGTCTAGTAATTAGGGACACCTCAGGATTCTCTTCGAGCCTTGGCAGGGCAAAAGGGATGCTTCTCGAGGTGAGGCAGGGCACACAAGAACCCTTTCCTGTAGCCACAGTGATTTTGGGGTTCCTATCAATGATCAGGAGGGGTCAGGCATCGTCACATTTGAAGCAGTGAACTCCGTGTGCCTCTCGAGGTGTCAACGGGATGTGAGGCAATCCGTCAAAATGAGGCAGGGACCTAGGGCTTTCGCTAAGGTCTCCAAAGGGGATTCAGACATTCCTTCCTGTTGTGAGATGAAAGACGAGCCTGTATTCAAGACACTGCAAGGAAACCCGGCCTCCTTTCAAGTTAGGGCTTCTCGCTGCATATTCCACTGGAGGCAGCAAACTGGGGGTCCCTCCAACATATCTATTGCTGAGAGAAGCCTCCCCTTGAGGTGCTTCTGGAAAGTTGGCATACGTCTTGAGCCTAAGCAAGGGAATCAGCTCTCATCTCGAGACGATTTGGGGTACACGGAGCATTCCTCGAGTTGCTGTGCTGAAGATGGTGTTCCTCCTGACTTGGGACAGTGTTCTCAGGGCATCTCTGGAGTTGTCTGAAGGAAGTCAAGCCACTGCTCTTGTTTAATGTGGAACGGGGGATGGCTCTGGAGTCAACGCAGGGGAATCGGGCATTATCTCAAATTGATGTGGGGCACATGGTGCTGCTTTGCGTTGATGGGGTGACCTCAGGATCCGTCTAGACATGTGACAGTATTCTTGGGGACTGTCTCGAGATCCATTAAGCAAGTCGAAGGTCCTGACTTGTTTGATGGGGATCACGGAATTGCTCTGCATGCACTGCAGGAGAATCGGGCCTCATCTCGCCACTAGGGGAAAGTCTCATGGTTTTTCTCGACTTGCGGCGGGGACCTGGGGTATGTACTCGGGTTACGGCGGGGATGGCCCTTCAAAACTCGTGTTTATTCAGTGATGTCAGGACTCCTGTCCAGTAACGAGGGACAGCTCAGGAGTCTCTTCGAGGCTTGGCAGGCACAAGGGACGCTTCTCGAGGTGAGGCAGGGCACCCAAGGAACCTTTCAAATAGCCACAGGGATTTTGTGATTCCTATCAATATTCAAGAGGAGTCAGGCATCGTCAGCTTTTGAAGCAGTGAACTCCGCGTGACTCTCGAGGTGTCAACGAGATGTGAGGCATTCCGTCAAAATGAGGCAGGGAACTAGGGCTTTCTCTAAGGTCTCCACAGGGGATTCAGACATCTCTTCCTGCTGTGAGATGAAAGACGAGCCTGTATTCAAGACACTGCTAAGAATCCGTCCTCCTTTCTAGTTAGTGCTTCTCGCTGTATATTCCATTTGAGGCAGCAAACTCGGGTTCCCTCCCACATACCTATTGCTGAGAGAAGCCTCCTCTTGAGGTGCTTCTGGAAAGTTGGCATAGGTCTTGAGCCTAAGCCAGGGAATCAGCTCTCATCTCGAGAAGGTTTGGCATACAGGAAGCATTCCTCAAGTTGCTGTGCTAAAGTAGGTGTTCCTCTGGACTTGGGACAGTGTTCTCGGGGCATCTCTGGAGTTGTCTGAAGGAGGTCAAGCAACTGGTCGTGTTTAACGGGGAACGGCAGATGGCTCTGGAGTCAATGCAGGGGAATCGGACCTCATCTCAAGTTGATTTGGGGCACATGGTGCTGCTTTGCGTTGCTGGGGATACCTCAGGGTCCGTCTAGACATGTGACAGTGTTCTTGGGGAATGTCTCGAGATCCATTAAACAAGTTGAAGCCCCTGACTTGTTTGATGGGGATCACGGAATTGCTCTGCATGCACTGCAGGAGAATCGGGCCTCATCTCGCTTCTAGGCGGAAGTCTCATGGTTTTTCTCGAGTTGCGGCGGGGACCTGGGGTATGTACTCGAGTTACGGCGGCGATGGCCCTTCAAAACACGTGTTTATTCAGTGACGTCAGGACTCCTGTCCAGTAACGAGGGACAGCTCAGGAATCTCTTCGAGGCTTGCCGGGGCACAAGGGACGCTTCTCGAGGTGAGGCAGGGCGCCCAAGGAACCTTTCCAATAGCCACAGGGATTTTGGGATTCCTATCAATATTCAAGAGGAGTCAGGCATCGTCACCTTTTGAAGCAGTGAACTCCGCGTGCCTCTCGTGGTGTCAACGGGATGTGAGGCATTCCGTCACAATGAGGCAGGGACCTAGGGCTTTCTCTAAGGTCTTCACAGGGGATTCAGACATCCTTTCCTGTTGTGAGATGAAAGACGAGCCTGTATACAAGACACTGCAAGGAAATCCGGCCTCCTTTCAAGTTAGGGCTTCTCGCTGTATATTCCACTTTAGGCAGCAAACTCGGGGTCCCACGAACATACCTATTGCTGAGAGAAGCCTCCTCTTGAGGTGCTTCTGGAAAGTTGGCATACGTCTTGAGCCTAAGCCAGGGAATCAGCTCTCATCTCGAGACGATTTGTGATACACGGGGCATTCCTCGAGTTGCTGTGCTGAAGTTCGTATTCCTCAAGACTTGGGACAGTGTTCTCGGGGCATCTCTGGAGTTGCCTGAAGGAAGTCAAGCCACTGGTGGTGTTTAATGTCGAACGGGGGATGGCTCTGGAGTCAATGCAGGGTAATCGGGCATTATCTCGAGTTGATTTGGGGCACATGGTGCTGCTTTGGGTTGATGGGGTGATCTCAGGATCCATCTAGACATGTGACAGTGTTCTTGGGGACTCTCTCGAGATCCATGTAGCAAGTCGAAGCTCCTGACTTACTTGATGAGGATCACGGGAATGCTCTGCATGGACTGCAGGGAATCAGGCCTCATCTCGCATCTAGGGGAAGTCTCATGGTTTTACTCGAGTTGCGTCGGGAACTGGGGTATGTTCTCGAGTTATGGCGGGATGGCCGTTGAAAACACGTGTTTATTCAGTGACGTCAGGACTCCTGTCTAGTAACGAGAGACACCTCAGGAATCTCTTCGAGGCTTGGCAGGGCACAAGGGACGCTTCTCGAGGTGAGGCAGGGCACCCAAGGAACCTTTCCAATAGCCACAGGGATTTTGGGATTCCTATCAATATTTTAGAGGAGTCAGGCATCGTCACTTTTTGAAGCCGTGAACTCCGCGTGCCTCTCGAGGTGACAACGGGATGTGAGGCATTCCGTCAAAATGAGGCAGGGACCTATAGCTTTCTCTAAGGTCTCCACAGGGGATTCAGACATCCCTTCATTCTGTGAGATGAAAGACGAACCTTTATTCAAGCCACTGCAAGGAAATCCGGCCTCCTTTCAAGTTAGGGCTTCTCGCTGTATATTCCACTTGAGGCAGCAAACTGGGGGTCCCTCCAACATTCCTATTGTGGAGAGAAGGCTCCCCTTGAGGTGCTTCTGGAAAGTTGGCATACGTCTTGAGCCTAAGCCAGGAAATCAGCTCTCATCTCGAGACGATTTGGGGTACACGGAGCATTCCTCGAGTTGCTGGGCTGAAGATGGTGTTCCTCTAGACTTGGGACAGTGTTCTCAGGGCATCTCTGGAGTTGCCTGAAGGAAGTCAAGCCACTGGTCGTGTTTAATGTGGAACGGGGGATGGCTCTGGAGTCAATGCATGGGAATCGGGCCTCATCTCGAGTTGATGTGGGGTACTTGCAGCTGCTTTGCATTGCTGGGGTGACCTCAGGGTCTGTCTAGACTTGTGACAGTGTTCCTGGGGACTTTCTCGAGTTGAATTAAGCAAGTCGAAGCTCCTGACTTGCTTGATGGGGATCACGGGAATGCTCTGCATGGACTGCAGGGAATCAGGCCTCATCTCGCATCCAGGGGAAGTCTCATGGTTTTACTCGAGTTGCGGCGGGAACTGGGGTATGCTCTCGAGTTATGGCGGGGATGGCCCTTCAAAACACGTGTTTATTCAGTGACGTCAGGACTCCTGTCTAGTAACGAGAGACACCTCAGGAATCTCTTCGAGGCTTGGCAGGGCAAAAGGGTTGCTTCTCGAAGTGAGGCAGGGCACCCAAGGACCCTGTCCTGTAGCTACAGTAATTTTGGGATTCCTATCAATGTTCAGGAGGAGTCAGGCATCGTCACATTTTGAAGCAGTGAACTCCGCGTGCCTCTCGAGGTGTCAACGGGATGTGAGGCATTCCTTCAAAATGAGGCAGGGACCTAGGGCTATCGCTAAGGTCTCCACAGGGGATTCAGACTTTCCTTCCGGTTGTGAGATGAAAGTCGAGCCTGTATTCAAGACACTGCAGGGAAACCCGGCCTCCTTTCAAGTTAGGGCTTCTCGCTGCATATTCCACTTGAGGCAGCAAACTGGGGGTCCCTCCAACATACCTATTGCTGAGAGAAGCCTCCCCTTGAGGTGCTTCTGGAAAGTTGGCATACGTCTTGAGCCTAAGCCAGGGATCAGCTCTCATCTCGAGACGATTTGGGGTACACGGAGCATTCCTCGAGTTGCTGTGCTGAAGATGGTGTTCCTCTAGACTTGGGACAGTGTTCTCAGGGCATCTCTGGAGTTGTCTGAAGGAAGTCAAGCCACTGGTGGTTTTTAATGTGGAACGGGGGATGGCTCTGGAGTCAATGCAGGGGAATCGGGCATTATCTCGAGTTGATGTGGGGCACATGGTGCTGCTTTGCGTTGATGGGGTGACCTCAGGATCCGTCTAGATATGTGACAGTATTCTTGGGGACTGTCTCGAGATCCATTAAGCAAGTCGAAGGTCCTGACTTGTTTGATGGGGATCACGGAATTGCTCTGCATGCACTGCAGGAGAATCGGGCCTCATCTCGCCAAGAGGGGAAAGTCTCATGGTTTTTCTCGACTTGCGGCGGGGACCTGGGTTATGTACTCGGGTTACGGCGGGGATGGCCCTTAAAAACTCGTGTTTATTCAGTGACGTCAGGACTCCTGTCCAGTAACGAGGGACAGCTCAGGAATCTCTTCGAGGCTTGGCAGGCACAAGGGACGCTTCTCGAGGTGAGGCAGGGCACCCAAGGAACCTTTCAAATAGCCACAGGGATTTTGTGATTCCTATCAATATTCAAGAGGAGTCAGGCATCGTCAGCTTTTGGAGCAGTGAACTCCGCGTGACTCTCGAGGTGTCAACGGGATGTGAGGCATTCCGTCAAAATGAAGCAGGGACCTAGGGCTTTCTCTAAGGTCTCCACAGGGGATTCACACATCTCTTCCTGCTGTGAGATGAAAGACGAGCCTGTATTCAAGACACTGCTAGGAAACCGGCCTCCTTTCTAGTTAGTGCTTCTCGCTTTATATTCCCTTTGAGGCAGCAAACTCGGGTTCCCTCCCACATACCTATTGCTGAGAGAAGCCTCCTCTTGAGGTGCTTCTGGAAAGTTGGTATACGTCTTGAGCCTAAACCAGGGAATCAGCTCTCATCTCGAGAGGATTTGGCATACAGGAAGCATTCCTCGAGTTTCTGTGCTAAAGTAGGTGTTCCTGTAGACTTGGGACAGTGTTCTCAGGGCATCTCTGGAGTTGTCTGAAGGAGGTCAAGCCACTGGTGGTGTTTAATGCGGAACGGCAGATGGCTCTGGAGTCAATGCAGGGGAATCGGACCTCATCTCAAGTTGATTTGGGGCACATGGAGCTGCTTTGCGTTGCTGGGGAAACCTCAGGGTCCGTCTAGACATGTGACAGTGTTCTTGGGGAATGTCTCGAGATCCATTAAGCAAGTCGAAGCCCCTGACTTGTTTGATGGGGATCACGGAATTGCTCTGCATGCACTGCAGGAGAATCGGGCCTCATCTCGCCTCTAGGCGGAAGTCTCATGGTTTTTCTCGAGTTGCGGCGGGGAACTGGGGTATGTACTCGAGTTACGGCGGGGATGGCCCTTCAAAACACGTGTTTATTCAGTGACGTCAGGACTCCTGTCTAGTAACGAGAGACACCTCATGAATCTCTTCGAGGCTTGGCAGGGCAAAAGGGATTCTTCTCGAGGTCAGGCAGGGCAACCAAGAACCCTGTCCTGTAGCTACAGTGATTTTGGGAATCCTATCAATGTTCAGGAGGAGTCAGGCATCGTCACATTTTGAAGCAGTGAACTCCGTGTGCCTCTCGAGTGTCAACGGGATGTGAGGCATTCCGTCAAAATGAGGCAGGGACCTAGGGCTTTCTCTAAGGTCTCCACAGGGGATTCAGACATTCCTTCCGGTTGTGAGATGAAAGACGAGCCTGTATTCAAGACACAGCAATTAAATCCGGCCTCCTTTCAAGTTAGGGCTTCTCGCTGCATATTCCACTTGAGGCAGCAAACTGGGGGTCCCTCCAACATACCTATTGCTGAGAGAAGGCTCCCCTTGAGGTGCTTCTGAAAAGTTGGCATACGTCTTGAGCCTAAGCCAGGGATTCAGCTTTCATCTCGAGACGATTTGGGGTACACGGAGCATTCCTCGAGTTGCTGTGCTGAAGATGGTGTTCCTCTAGACTTGGGACAGTGTTCTCAGGTCATCTCTGGAGTTGCCTGAAGGAAGTCAAGACACTGGTTGTGTTTAATGTGGAACGGGGGATGGCTCTGGAGTCAATGCAGGGGAATCGGGCATTATCTCGAGTTGATTTGGGGCACATGGTGCTGCTTTGCGTTGATGGGGTGACCTCAGGATCCGTCTAGACATGTGACAGTGTTCTTGGGGACTGTCTCGAGATCCATTAAGCAAGTCGAAGCTTCTGACTTGTTTGATGGGGATCACGGAATTGCTCTGCATGCACTGCAGGAGAATCGGGCCTCATCTCGCCTCTAGGGGAAAGTCTCATGGTTTTTCTCGACTTGCGGCGGGGACCTGGGGCATGTACTCGGCTTATGGCGGGGATGGCCCTTCAAAACTCGTGTTTATTCAGTGACGTCAGGACTCCTGTTCAGTAACGAGGCACACCTCAGGAATCTCTTCGAGCCTTGGCATAGCAAAAGGGATGCTTCTCGAGGTTAGGCAGGGCACACAAGAACACTTTCCTGTAGCCACAGTGATTTTGGGATTCCTATCAATGATCAGGAGGGGTCAGGCATCGTCACATTTGAAGCAGTGAACTCCGCGTGCCTCTCGAGGTGTCAACGGGATGTGAGGCATTCCGTCAAAATGAGGCAGGGACCTAGGGCTTTCTCTAAGGTCTTCACAGGGGATTCAGACATCCCTTCCTGTTGTGAGATGAAAGACGAGCCTATATAAAAGACACTGCAAGGAAATCCGGCCTCCATTCAAGTTAGGGCTTCTCGCTGTATATTCCACTTGAGGCAGCAAACTGGGGGTCCCTCCAACATACCTATTGCTGAGAGAAGGCTCCCCTTGAGGTGCTTTTGGAAAGTTGGCATCTGTCTTGAGCCTAAGCCAGGGAATCAGCTCTCATCTCGAGACGATTTGGGGTACACGGAGCATTCCTCGAGTTGCTGTGCTGAAGATGGTGTTCCTCTAGACTTGGGACAGT